GTCCTTTTTCATATTAATTGCTTTAAACATTTTCATATGTAGCCGAAAGAGAAGTTTTTTTTTTATTATGCAAAAAAAAACAAAAAAGTATTACTCCCTTTGTTCTTATTTATATTCACCAAATCAATTCCTACTTTATTATTTATATTCACCAAATTTATATAAAATGCATATACACCAATAGAGACTTTTACTTTTAATGATGGAGAATGAAACTCGAGTGCCAGATATCACATTTCAAAATCTTGAACATCCTCAACTATCAAACTACCCTAAAAGTTTATTGATCTAACAATAGTTCAATTTATTTCATCTAACTTGTGTTTTTGTGTGGAATTCGTTAACTTTTTGACATATTTGAATAAAAGGATGAAAGTTGTCAAGTTTTAAATACTTGAGAAATTTTTTTTGTTAAGAAGAATAAGTTAAGGATGTATTTAAGTTTGGGTATATTTTAAAAATGTTTTTGGCTATAAACTCATCCTATTTAATGGAAAAAGAAAATCTTATATGTTTTCAATTTGTTTGTTCTATTTTGACTTGACATCGTCCTCCAATTTCCTCTCATTTCAAAAGTTGTGAATACAAATAAATAAAAAAACATTGTCCTGATAAAATTTCTAAATGCCTTTCTGGATATTCCTCAATATCTTGGTTATCCACGGAACGTTAACAACATGTGATTAATCATCCGTTTTTGAAAAAAAATCGAAGAATTTCTTGAAAAATCTAAATACAAAATATGTGAATTTTGATCGATAGTTTAAAGTGTATTATTTTTTATTATATTGACATGAAAAATATTGTAATTTGTAAAATCTTGAATCAATACTTAAATTTTAATTTAGAAATATTGAGTTGATATAAATCAATTTAGCTTTAAATATTAGTCGAATTGATTATTGAGAAGTAAAAAGTATCATATAAATTAAATCAAATGAGATATTAATTAGTGACATATCATGCAACTTTGATGTGATAATAAGAGCACAACGCATGATTCCGTGGATTAGAGGCATGTCATAGGTATAGGTTTGATGCGTATAATGTGTGACTTGAATAAGTGCACACTAAGGAAATTAATTTTCAGTTATATTTAATTCTTTTTTCATGGTTATTAATTATCAGTAATTTTAGCTATAAAATAACTAGAAAGCTCATTTTATTTTATAATGTATAGTCAAGTTGTGAATTTAAGTATTCCCATTATTTTTTATTAGAAGAAAAATGGTGAAAAGGCCCAAAAATATGCAAAATATAGCAATGGAAGTATTTGACTATCAAAGATGGTATTTTTGAAGTTAAATAGCTATAAGCAATAAAAATTGAAAAACAAAAAATAGATATTAGAGTTTGGAGCAATCATTTTTACCCAAAAAATAAAATAAAATACATGATTCAATTAATCAAATTTAATAAAGTGTAATTTTTAATATCGAAAAGAGTTAAATATATGTCTTTACTATCATAAATAATTTAGTTTAAATATATCTCTTATTATATTTTCTATTCAAATTTTCTTCTATGTACATTAAAAAAAAAAAAAAAAAGACCAAAAATCAAAATGCATGCTCCATGGTACATGACAATGTGGATCCACGTCAACACCTTGTCAAAAAAATGCATATTTAATCCAGCAATAATAGAATAAGAGGAGTATCCGATAAGAAAAAGAATCGTCCTTGAATAATAAAATAGTAGTTTAACTTATTAGAATAGTCAAATTATGTTGAGCAGGTGATTTCTTAAATGAATTATCTCAATTTTGAAATTACTTACCTACTTAACAATAGGTTATAGCATAGAAATTATTTAATACGGATTATTTCTTTAATATGATTTGTTGGCTATCACACTGACTATTAAAAAAATGTTAATTACATGGAATTTAATTTAAAGTAAGCTCTTATGAATTTGCATTGGAAGTTTTAACATTTCTAAAATTTAAAATATTTACATGTGGATAATATTTTCTCAAAAAAATATGATGCTAAATTTTGCTACTTAGAGTTAATATTATACTGGTAGCGTGAATTGTACCGTAATGTAGCCCATCTCCGCTCTCACTCCTGCTTCAGATTGTTCTAGCCCTCTTTCAGTCTCTCTTGAGGTTCTTTTTTCTACAATTTTGCATCCATTTACTCTTTCTCTCAAAAGAATAGTTTTTAGATGAACTTTCAAAAATAGCAAAAACTTGAAATATAATGAGGCAAAAATAGCTATAGTTTACTTATTACAATTCGTAGCTACATGTTAGGGGGAGCGAGATTAGGACATGGAGGAGAGAGGGAAGAGAGTGGAGAGAGACAAATTGTACTTGTATATTTGTTAGATAATTGTATATATGTATATGTATCAATAATTGTATTTGTATATCTGTCGGATAATTGTGTGTGTGTATATATATATATATATATTATGTAATTAGTATGTATATGCATCAATGAATACAATAGTATTAACGAATACAATTTGTATCAACAAATAAATTGTATACAATTATATCAATGTTGTTTCAAGTTCAACATTTGTATTTGTATAGTTGATTGTTATCATTTGTATCAATAGTATTAACAAATACAATTTGTATCTGAATACAATTGTGTTGAGTTCAACATTTGTATTTGTATAATTGATTGTCATCATTTGTATCAATATTGTATCAATGAATACATGTGTGTTTGTATTCGCATCACTAAAGAAATCTGTATAATTAACATTTATAATTTGCATAACTGATTGTTATCATTTGTGTTTGTATAAACGAATGTCAACATTTGTGTTTGTATAAACGACTGTCAATATTTATATTTGTATTTGTATAATTGATTGTACAATTTGTATTTGTGTTAAGAGAGAGGACGTAGAAAGAGGAGAGAGATAGAGAGTGGGTAGAGTGTCATGGCCCAAAAATAGACGTGATGTCACTTGTCTATTCTCATCAAGACAAGTCAGCCTCAACCCAACAAAAACGAAAGAGATGAGAAAATATAAATCAAGAACAAGACAAAGGCGGAAAACTTATTCATTCCAAGCAATACCCCAAAACTTGATTGTCACGTGTACAAGCCACTAAATACATAAACTGCGGAATTAAGAAATAAGTACAAGTATTAGTCTTTGTTTCTCAAATAGAACAAAGCGCTTAAAGAAAAGGAAAAGAGGGTCCGCCAGAATGACAAACAACTACCTTTCAAGTCCTTCAATGAGGTTCAGAAAAGAGAAGAAGAGTGATCACGTTATACCGGGCTCGATACCTACACAAGTGTAGAAGCAATGAGTCAGTACCGCAAATATGATACCCATCAAGCAACCTACTAAACAAGGTATCTAGCTAGAAATTGAATACCCCTTACACTCCAATCGAACCTACTCAAACTACAACCTATCAGCCCAACCCAGCAGTTCTACAATACACTGCTCATAAGGCCCAATATCCGTAGTTCAATAGTCACAAATCATCAATCAAACGAATGAAGTAAGTCAAGTAGTTTAGTCATATGCAACAAGTACATCAATCACAATTACCAAGTAAATCACATAGACGCATCAATGGTATCAAGTCACAATAATCAATCTCTTGCCAGAACCACTTCCCATCGGCACAATATCGCTAGCCGGAACCATTTTCCATTGGCTTTATATCAAATCACTAGCCAGAATCATTTTCCATCGGCTTTATAAACAATTGTCGGAAATGACCTCGGTTTAATCATACTCGTCGGCAAAGACCTCGATATCATAATTCATCACATGTCTTATCATGGTGTTCAAAAATCAAAGCACACAAGCATCACACCACACGGAAGAGACAACAAATCATGCATTTCAACTCCACATTCATAATTGATATCATGACTTGGTTCTTAATTGATTGTCGGGTTAAGCTTGAATTGTTAGTTGGTTCTCCCACTAAAGGGTTAGTGTGGGTGCCACTCACGATGAGTAAGGGTCGTGATATGTAACATATTGAATCCTCATATATCTTAAGGGTTCATCTGGACAAAATGCTTTTTTTCCATCTTCTGATTATTATTATTTTGCTTTTTACAACTGCGTTCCAAATCAGTTTGTGTATACTTTGATTAATTTTCACGCAATATATATCACCTTACACCAGCAACAAGTACTAGATAGCTTTGTTCACCAAGGCTAGAATAGATGAGAAAAAATCACCTAGAGTTTTGTCTCTCTTGGAAATTAAACGTGAGACATCATGGTGTCCAATCCAATTCATTGACCACAAAATCACATCCTTCAGTGTCCTTATCTAGTATATCTAATTCTTCGAGTGCAAAATTAACCTCAACACAACAACATGGTTACAGAAAGAAAATTTAAAGAGACAAATAAAGGGTGCAGTCTAATATACCAAATATATCATGTTGGAAAAAAAAATTGGAGCCTTAACTAGTCCTATAATCTTCAAAGTTTGTGTACAAATATACAAAGACCATATTCAAAAATTACAATTCTATGAACTCTCTAAAAAATTATATTAGCCGATTCAGTTGTTGGTGTTGTAATAGGTAGAAGTACATTATGGCAGGATTAATCACCCGGACAAACAATCCTCCTCTAAAATCACTTGGGCTCCTAGAAGAGCCTAGACTAGCATTGTCTAATAATGTCTCAATCTTACACAAGTTAAAGCTTTTACCGGTCCTATTTCCGTTTAAACCCATCTCAATTTAATAGCAACATTAATACCATAGTTGAAAACCATACTAAACAACATTTATAATAACAATAGTAATAATAAGTATAAGAGTATCTAGTAAACATTAAGAAAAAATTGACAATAAGTAAATGAAATAACAAACTTTGAAGAAAAAAAAATAACAGATGGACATTTCAAATGAGGATATGATAAAAGAGTATTGAGAATCATATAATGCAACTTAGATATGCAAACTAATAAAAGACATAAACAGTCCATCAAATAACATGGACATACAAAACAATAGTAATTGAAAGAGACATATATTAGTCTTAGATCCTTATAAATTATCGTTGTTGTGATTTGGATCTTGAACATTAGTGTTATTGAAAGATGGCTCATCAAGTAAAGTCATCAAATCACTCCACTCCAAATTCATCAGATCATCGCTCCAGTCAAACATCTCAGACAATGCAGGACTCTGATGATTATTCATTGAAGGGTTCATTTGTGGTAACACTGGTGTAGATAATATGGGGTCCTCTCCATTGACCTTTGTTTTGATTGCTTCGCTTACCTGTTTAAGGTTTTGGTTGATCACGTAACTCAGATCGTTGAGATCGTAAACGTGTATACCGTTAGGAATATCTTCTCCATTCAACATTTCATACATCTTGTTTGTGAACTCCCTGACTCTGTTTTCCTTTCTTACCTTTCCGAGTTGTTCCTCCATTTTCTGGATCCTTTGCTTGGTGAAATTTTCTTGTGTCACCATGTTTTTTGATTTCTCTAATTCTGGCAACTCTAGAAACCTTGTAAAGGTGTTGGTAACAAAATCATTATTTGGAAATATCATAGGTTCATTGTGGTAAGGACTATAGATAACGGCAGCTATTTCAACATTACAAAGGGTGCTAAGTTCACGGGCCTTTGTCAAGAACCCTTTCTGTCTTTTTTTGTATGAGACTTTCCTCGCAGTGCTATTTTCAATAAAAGCTAACTTCACTTTCTTTCTAGGCATTGTTAAGGAGGAGGAAAAGGAGGACAAATGTTGTTGTTGTTTGGATATTGGGGATTAAATGGTATTGTTATTGTTGTTGTATGTTTCTTTTCCTAGGATCGATTGACTTCAATTTATAGGGAGGGAATTTTGATTTTGTAAAATTTTGAATAATTTGAATTAGAGGATTCTTAGTTGTCATTCTATTTTTGGCATAAAATTAAATGAGGACTATCATCTTAAAATAAATGTAGATTATGGCTCCACTCTTATTATGATCAATTTTGACACATCATGTCATACATATTAAGTAAGAATTTTGACACATCATGTCATACATATTTCAATATCCATATAATAATGAATTTAATGATTAATTTAATAAAATACAAATATGCATTGAATATTAAATGGTGATATGTGTATGATTATTATTGTTACAGCGCTTATAGAAACACATTATTATTTTATCTAATTTTGAAAGAAACAATATTTAACAGAAATTTTAAAGACTTAAATTTGTTTTTATTACTGTCTGATACTCACCAACCAGTCACTTAACTCACGTTAAAAATTCTTCTAAATTGGTCTTGAGGCAAATCAATTCAAAATAATTACAAAAAACACCGATCAAATTAATGTGTTTACACAGTGGGAAAATAAAAAGATTTTGTATTCTTTTAAAGAAAAATATTCAAGAAGAAGAAGAATTACTTGTAGCCTTTCTTACTATTTTTTATTAAGTGAGAATATACATTTTACTCTAATGAGATTTCTTCCGTTTAGGTATCTAAATTAAATTTTTATCATATTGGGATCAATATTTAAATGTATCCCATGTTTACTAGCTAATGTACATCTTTATAAGTTAGAGAAGAAGAAAGAACAACAAGTATATTGAATTTATGTCATATATTATAAAAAAAGGTTGAACTTTATATCTAGTTGAATCTTTTGTCTTCCCCTTTCACCTTGTAACTATAAGAAAGTCTATATCATATTATAGTCTTCACTAATCGAGCTTAACGGTTAAAAGTTTTAAAACCTCAAAGTTTGAGGATTTGAGGTGTAAATGGAAAATTAAAAAAGACACCTTTTGGATTGAACCAAAAAGGCACCTTTTGAATGGCACCTCTTCATCTCATATTTTCATCGTTTATAAATTCAGAGGTCTTGCCTCAGATATTATAAATTGAATATACTAAAAAAATGAAAATCTTATTTTCTTCTTGATGCATCATTTTCAAATAATATCTAAGCGTCGTGTGTTGCTTTGTTTGTTGAATTCGTTGGAGTTTTGTAATTTACATTGTTTCTATTACAAAAACGTTTTTCCGTCTTATTTTGAGAGGAAGTAACCCAAAATCTTGACAACAATAAGAGGGTTATAATTCCTTAACGACACACAAGCAACTTGTGAGCTCGGAATAACATTCAACATATTCTACATTTCTAATCTAATATTTTGAACATAGAGTAATAACATCAAATATATATATCCAAAAAAAAACCCATTACAAAGTGATATAACTATGAAATCAGAGCTCTAATGTGATGCTCTATAGCTATTCCCTTCAAAGATATATTCCTGATAATTAAACACTCCAATTTTGAAAATGCACATTTAGACATCTCAACTCGTTCCAATTGTATCTCGTGGACTCCCGATGCTAACATACAAAAACCAACTCTAAAAACAAAAATTCTAAGAACTCTCCAAAAAATTTACAACGCCTCAATCCCAAACAGGTTAGAGTTGGGCTATATGAATCTTTACTAGTCGTGTCACTCATCTCAGTATATCTAATTTTCCGAGCACAAAAGATTGATCTCAACACGGGAACACGGTTGCAGGAAGAAAGATTAAAGGATATCAGAGAAGAGAAACAAAGGAATCATTCTTAAAGACCAAACTGTATCATGTTGAAGAGATCGTAGAGGCACCACCGGCTATAGACAAATCAACTGGAGTACATACCGTTGCCCTTTGGTGTAAACGTCTCAAACTTTGATTCATACTAACTTGTATCACTTCAGCAAGCAATCCCCGCGCTTTTCCAGTTTGCTCCTTGCCATCTATCTGAGATATAAGATTAGAAACAATGTTCTCCAATGTGTCGGGTTGAAGCTGAGACCTTTCGTAAGGAGTATCTCTCAGCAACCTTAGAAGTGTTTGTGATTTCTCTTTAGACTTAGTTGTCCCTTTAACAGTCAGCTCAAGAAGTCCAGGAACTACACCTTCTCTGAGAATTAGTTCCCGGTATTTACATCTATCACTTTGACACATTGTCAACAGAGCTCCTAAAGCATGTTCTCGGCTTTGTAAAGATCCGATTTCAAGGACTTCCACTATTGCAAGTATCCCCCCTTCTTCAGATGTCAACGCTTTCCTACACTCGTCATAAGACATTAAAGATTCTAGGAGAGCAGTACATTTTTCAGTGGTTTTTGAGGACTTTTTACAGGATTTAAGTAGAGTAACTATAGAAGGAATTGGTTCTGTTTGAAGGATCAATGTTAGATTGCCTTGAGAAGTTGAAAGATTGTATAAAGTGATTATAGAATCAACCTTGGCTTGTGGACTACCGCGTCTTAGAATATCCACGAGTAGAGGGATGACACCAAAAGAACTAAGGATCGGTTTTGTGACAGAAGATGCTGATAATGTGAGTAATGAAGCAGTTGCATGCTCTTGTAAATTTGCATTCTCTGATTGAAGAAAGCCAATGATGGGTTCTAAGGCACCAGCATCTATGATACTTTTCTTGTTTCTGTAGAAGACATGAATAAAAACGTAAGAACGTGCACTTTTTAATAGCAAACTAAAATGAGTTGGTCACACAATTCAATATGATATCAGAGCAGACAAAGATCTCGGGTTCAAGAACTTAAGAACAAAAAGGAAGTAAACTCGCACAAAAAGGGCGAATTGAAGACATTAAAAGAAAAGTGTGTCATTTCTAATAGCTTAATCTTTTGGATTAAATGGCCATACAATTCAACAGTTTCTAGGAAGACTGGGAATAGAGTCAAATATCAAAGTTTCAAGAGTATTTACAGTTTCACATTAGAATAATGTTTGATATGGAGGAAATAGCAATATTATTTGTTATAGACATAATCCATAAACATGTTATTTAACATGGCTTTAGATGTCATCTATGCCCTCCAACTTTGATGGTGCATAAATAGACACTTAAATTTGTATAAAGTTGAACAAGTAGACACGCATATCTTACCTGACATACAACTTAATTAGATCCAATATATATGTAAAGGAAAACAACTTGAATAGAAGGTAACAATAGCACCCAAAAAAAAATTAGCATCAGAAATTTCAGGAAACCACAAAGCTTAAATTCTAACGCATAAAGTGTAAATTCTAAATTTGCCTCACATGGACTACAACAACAACATACCCCATACCCGGTGTAATTCCATATGTGAGATTTGAAGAGAGTATAGTATACGCAGACAAGACCTTATCCTGTACCTCATGAAAGGTAGAGAGGTTGTCTCTAAAAGACTCTCGAATTGAGTAACACATATCAATGCAATTTAAAAACTACAAACATGAAGACATAGCATATAGAAAAAGGATAGCAACAACATGAGATAACCAAAAAAAAATAGACAGTAACAAACTTCGAAGGATAAGAAACTATGATGCTAGTACTAAGGCTATTGGTATACAAAGAGAAACATGTTCAAAGCACCAAGCCTACCATGCAGTGAAACAAGACAACACACAACTACCTACTAAACCTTTAGGAATTATATATAATTCCTCTATCCCACTTTATATGATGTGCTTTTTATTTTAGTCGATCTCTAAAGGAATGATACATTTCTGCATTTACTAACAATTTAACTTGAAAATGCTCATTTTATCCTCCGATTTCTAGTCACACAAATATCTATAACTTATTATAAACCACAAGTTTTAAAAGTTTTTCGTTCTTTCTTAAACTCCGTGTCAAGTCAAATTAACTCATATAAATTGGGGTGGAGGGAGTAGTAGTTAATTATATTTTGTCAGGGCATCTCCAACCCAAACACCAAATTTTACACCAAATTTGGTGTTAGCACTATTTTAGAATAAATCAACTTCAACCCACTGCACCAAATTTTACACCAAAAAGGAATATTTTTCTCTCTCTTCATTATTATATTATTATTTCTTATTTCATTTATATTTTCTTATTTCATAAAACAATTTTTTTCTAAAACATTCACCATATATAAGTCATATTATTTTCTTTTATAGTCGTTTAATATAAAATTATTTTATACCATAATTTTTAAATAATATAAATTGCTAGCAAATATTATACATTATACATAATAATGGATAATACAAATAAAAGTGAAATCATTAATGAAATACAATTAAATAAACATTACATAATTGAAAGAATCTGCCAGATTATTATTTTTTAAAATTATTATGTTTTGTTGTACTTTTTAAAATTACTATGTATTTTATATTTCAATTTTGATGTATGTCAATTACTACTTTGTTGAATGTTTATTATTTTTGGTTATTTTTAAGTACATTGTATTATTTGTTTAATAATTTATATGTTCGCATTTTTAATTTTTGTGAAGGTTAATTGTAGTTATTTCCAATAATAATTTATAGTAGAATTAACATAAATTTAATTTTAAAAAAAAGTCATATATAGAAAAAATAATTTATAAAAAGAACTAACTTTTATATCTAAAACTAATATTATAAAAATATTGCATAAAAAATAATTAAATATACAAGAGATTTAATTAAAATATACAATTTATATAATGTTTAATTAAAAGTTTTGTATAATGAAATAATATTAAAATATTCAATAAAGTGAATTGGTGTGATGAATAGTGTTACACTGTTCACATATTAAAATGGTGTAAAATTTGGTGTTGGGTTAGAGTTTCAAAACACCAAATTTAATTTGGTGTTGAATTGGAGATGGTTTCAGACCAATTAACAATACCAGTTAATTTTTTTTTAATTAGACTAGCAATTTCAATGAACTCTAGTAGTACCACAATTAACATCCAAATTCATGATAGTTAATTATAATTTGTGAATACGTACCCTTCATCTTTAACGGAGAGATTGAGTAACGCAAGAAGAGCAGCTTCATTATATTCAACTGACGGCGAATTACGAAGCATATCAACAAGGGGTTTAACAGCGTCGGAAAAATGACGCCGGTAACGCAAAGAACTTTTAGTTAGCCGGCGAATATCCTTAGCACCCTGCAATTTCAAATTTGGGTCATCTGATAGAATGAGATAAAGGGTTTTTTCAACAATGGCGCAAGACATTATTCTTGTCTGCCCCAAAAAGAGTAAATTATTACTAAGAAAGAAATAGGGCTTTGTACTTGTATATAAAAAAAAATTAATGGAGAATTTTCGTGATAAAAACTTCAATTTTGACTGTAAAAGGTTCGGAAAATTACGGGTCGTTATCCGAATGCGATTGACTTCCATTGACGACTTTTGGAAGTTGCTGTTTCTGTACACTCCTGGAGGCTATTTCCGTTCATTTTCCTTTGGAAAAGGTTGAACGTTTCAAAAAAAAAAAATTGGTACTCAATTAATAATAATAATTTTGAAAAAGATTTAGCTTTTTGAAAATCTTAAATTTTTAATTCATCTACTTAATAATTAATACGAATAAAATGATAAATTTACAGTATTAATCATTATTTTTGTGTGTTAATTTAAAAATGAATAAGTAATTAGGGACCGAGAAAGTAAGTAATTGGGCTTTAAATGGGTGTACTTCTCAAAGTTCAGTTCCAAAATATGTTTCACTTTTTTTTAATCTTTTAGTCTAAATTAAATTTAAAATTAAGTTAACATTTTGAATTAAAATTTAGATATATAAAAATTATAGTAATTTTTTCAAATTTATAATATAAAAAAATATATTTTAAATATTACTAAAATTCATATCATGTAAATTTTGAGAATAAAAAATGACACATCTTTGAGGATGAAAAGAATAATTTTTGAAATAATTGATCAAACGTGTTTTCAACTTTCTCTTTTCTCTTATATAATAAGAGAGTTCGAGGCTGAAGCAAGCGTCTCTCCTTTGACACGCCTGCTTCCGTAAGAGTATTTTTGAAAAATAAAATAAAAGAAAAAATCTTTTCGTTTTACATTAATTTAATTATTATATAATTTTTAAAAATTATGGGACCCACTTTTGCTATGTCATTTGCTTTAGAATGGTATTTACCACATATCCTTTAGTGATAGTTTTATTTAGAGAAAATACATAAAAAAAAATCCTGAACTTGGTCGGGTAACTTATTTTAGTACTTAAATTACACGGACGTTTAAATACTCTCTTAAGATCTTTGAAGTAATTTTTTTTCCACCCTGAGGCTATAACACCACTCTCACCCACCACATCATAGCCACATAAGCGTCACATCATAACCATGTAGGCACCATGTCATTAATCTTTATTTCTTTTTTACTTATTCACTATTTTTTCTTAAATACTTTTTAAAATTAAGTATATCAATTGATTAATTTATAAATGCATACCGCCACCCCCACCCCCACCCCCTCTCTTTCTTCTTCCTTGTTGTTCACCATTATTCCAACCTTTAATACTTTCTTTTCTTCTTCTTCACCTATTCAACAATCTTTTAAGTCACTTTAAAGAAGAAATTCATATTATCTTCTTCGAACCCTCCCAACGATTACCCTCTTGAAGAATGAATTTTTTTCAAAGCTAATTTTTTCTTGACAACTCAAATAAGAAATGAAGATTGCATAAGAAAATTGATCCAAAAAAATATAAATTTTATGAGAAATGTTTGAATTATCTAGCAATCAAAATGGGTCGCTCAAAATTTAAGAAATTTTACATTTGTCAAATCGATACAAATAATAGAGTGAAATCGACGTCAATAAAATGACATTGCTATTGAATTCTACGGATTAATAAAAGATTAGTGAATGAAAATAGTGGATAGAGGTGGGGAAGAAGATGGAGGAAGAGATGTTTCAACGGAGAAAAATGTGTATTGAAGAAGACAACAAAATAAAAATTAAAAAAATTAAAGAAAAGAAAAAGGGGACCCACTAATTTCATTTACCTCTTAATAAGAAAATTTACATATTTTAAAGATTTAATATATATAAAAAAAACTATTTAAATAATTTGTTATATATTGGCCAATAAAAAAAGGTCATGTGTAGAGCTTTAAAAATTCACCTTATTTTTTCTCTTTTTTCACGCACTTTCAGGAGAGTGCACTCACTCTCTCTGCCACATCATCCCTTAGGGAGTGTTTTAATCATTTAAAAGATGTTAAGGGGTATATAAACACCCATGTAGTTTAAGTACTAAAGTAAGTTTTCGTGCCAAGTTCAGGAGGGATTTTATGTCTTTTCCCTTTTATTTATTACCAAACAAGGGTTGGTAGAGTGGTTTTTTATCCTTAATCAAGAAGTCTCAGATTCAAGCCCCCTTGGGTACGGTCACTTTTGTTAGGGAGCGCTTTACCTTTCAATGTGCGACTTTTCGACGCGAATCCGAATTTAGTCGAGCTCCAATGTAGGTATCGACCACCAGGTGGGAAACCAATAAAAAGTTATAGTTTTATTAATTTGAATATCAGTAATATATTTATATAAACTTTATAATTACTTTAAGTAAAAAGTTAATGATTAATGAATAAAAATACTTTAATTATGAACATCACAATGAAATTCTTCACATTAAATTTGTAAAAAAAAAAATGAATAAAATAATTTACTACTACAAAAATACAGTACATTATAATTTATTTGAACAAAACAAACCGATAATGTGGGGGGAGTGATATTAAAACCGTGGGAAATGGTCAAACTACTTTAAACTTTAATTTTTTGGTGTTGGTTTCCAATTTTCATTCATACAATTAGTCACACACATTGAAAATTTAAAAAAAAAAAAAGACTTACTCAGAACATTACTTTTTTTTTTTTAATATAAGAAAAAACATTATTCACACACATAAAAAAAAAAAAAAAAAAAAAACAAACAAACATTAGCCGCGTTTCCGGCAGCCATTTGACTGGATTAGACCCTACTTTAACTTTGTCAAAGTAAGATTTACGTCGAGTAATAATCTGGTGCGGGAGTCAAAATTAGGAGTTTGAGGGTTCTAAATTTTAGGATAGAATAGAAAAATATTGCAAAACATATTTCTGTTAAAAAAAAGAAAATTTTTTGTTGATGGTGAAGTTTGAACGACATTTCCACCGTCCTTTTCTTACCACCAAGCTGTTATTCAATTTTGTTAGAAGTTCACATGTAAATATACATATATATTTATTTAATTTCTAATACAAATACGTGGCCTACAAAAAGCTAGTGGGTTCGTCCGAACCCACGAATCCCATCTAGCTCTGTCTCTGAGTCTCTCATCTTATTTTATATAAGTTAGTTTAACTCACCATAAAGTTTTTTCTTAAAAAAAAGGAAAACTTTTAAAATTTGTGGTATGAAATTAGTAATAGATATTTGTGTGACTATAAATCATTACATTAAAGGGTAAAATGAGAACTTTATAGTTAATCTGTAATATAAAAATATGTCATTCTTTTTTAGATTGACTGGAAAAAAAATCATATAAACTGGAACAAAATAAATAGTATTTACGACACAATATATAAATATATTATTTAATTAAACCTTAATTAATATTATATTTCAATTGTATAAAATTGAATAGGTAGGTACATATATCTTATATTGAAATTAATATATAAACCATTCGTGTTATGGTTATAAATCATGTTAGTATGCTTGGATTATAGAGTACGTAGATATTTGCTTAAAGTATTTTTAGTCTTTAAGAAATTTCATGTTCGTAGAAAATATAAAAATATATTAGTTGTTGAGTTAGCTTGTAATATTTGAAGATCTTATTCGTAAAAAAATATGATTAAAAATGATAAAATTAAATCTGTTCGATCCATTTAAGTTTGAGCGAGTCACTGATTCGTCCATTTATTGCTTTCATTCAACTACGTTAATAAATCACTCAAATATAATTATATGAAAGATAGTTATAAAGCGAAGTTAAACATTTTCAAACTAAAATAGATGAAGAAAACATATTTTATAGGTTTTTTACATTAAGTAAATTTAAAAATATTAAAAAGGCAAAGACAATTGATACTTAGAATTTACTATGCATATATTTATTTATTGATTTATAGAAAAAGATTTATATAATTGAACTTACCATTATAATATAAATTATAACGTACAAAAGTTATCATCAAGCTGGGATAGCTCAGTTTGTTAGAGCGTGTGGCTGTTAACCACAAGGTCGGAGGTTCAAGCCCTCCTTCTAGCGTTTAGTGATTTTGCAATTTTGTGTATTTTTTTTATTCTTTCTTTTTAAATTTTCTTCGTGATTCAAGAGTTGTTAGTAGCATTTTTTTTTTATATAAGATGATTTTGACCTCTTAAAGATGTATTTGATTTTCACAGACAATACTTCACTATTACAAGTTGATCTTGAGTAAGATCGCTTCGGCTTTGAGAAAACACAAAATTTTATGTGTATCTCTTATATTTTTCTTTGTGAGTCGTTAGTAGCATATTTACTCAAATGTAGGATGATTTTGACCTCTTTATGCTATATTTGATAGCCACGAACATCGGACAACACCTCGCTATTTCAAGTTGATCTTGAGGAAGATTGCATTTTGATTGCTTTGATTTTTTAAAAGCAACATTGTATATGTTATGTTGATCTTTTTACGAATACTTAAGAGATTATATGATATTCAAGATATATCCTCAATAGAATATGTACATCTTTTAAAGATGTGAGTTAGAATTTAGGATAGAGCAGTCTCGAAGAATTTCTAACGGACCTAAGGTTTAAAGAACATGAAATGGGATTGTCTTGTAAAGGATCACCTTAAATTGAGTATTATTTTTTCTTATGTCAACCCGAATAACATATATGTCAAAGAAAATTTTGAACCAAGCACAACAAGGCTCTCATGTGTTTGCACTTAATAAAGGTCTTAATCTTAAATATTTAGATTGACTTTATTTATTTATTAAGTAATGAATCTTAATCAACTCAGATCTTAATCATTAAGTATATATTTTTTTATAACCACGGTTGCTTCTTCTTCTTTAGAAAAATAAAAATAAATAAAATTCGACGTACCGCAAATGTAAATCATTTTGAGCGAAATATATATCAAAAGATTCGAAACATTGAGATGATTTCATATCTAAAATTTGGACTATTTAGAGGTGATTTTAAGTTAATCAAGATTGAATAATCA